CCCTTTAATCTATGAGTTCGGCTCAAGCTCGTGGCGAGCCCCTCGTGAGCTCGTGTTTTTTTTTTTTTAATTTTAATTTTTTTTTGCACCTTTTTTTTAAAAAATTTCAATTTTTTTGGATCGTGGGATCGAGCCCCCTGCTCCGCCCACGAGCTGAGTTTTAATGAACCGAGCGGTCGAGCCGACGAGTCGCTCGGCCTGTTTGACATCCCTAATCACACTTCTCGTACGACATTAGAGCTGCCTATCCAACTATTGTGCGGTCACACTAGATGATATTGTGAGGGTTAATTTGTCTGTGGTGTCTAATCCTGATAGAGGAAGACAGTGGTATATAGTGGGAGTGAGTTGGCGTATGCCAGTGATTAGATTTGAAAACGGGTTGATTTGAGTATGCTAAAATAGTATTGTAATTGATTTATTAAGAGCTACTCTATTTTTGGGAAAAATGTAAAGCGAAAAAAGTAAGTCATTCCAACTTTATTTATTTTACATTCTTTTATTATGGAATGAAGAAGAGAAGACACAACAAAATGTTGAACCCCAACCTTAAGGGTTCCTCACCATCTCGCTCCTGGAATATCGTGAGAGAGGTTAATCGTGGAATGTATCCAATCAGGCTAGGGAACAAGAGTTGGCTGTGCACTGGTACCCATAAAGAGTCACAATCCATATTTCAGAAATCGAATCCTCACACTGTGGCTGTCAGCAAGATTGAATATACCTCATCCTTGTCCTTTGCACTACTGGAATATGCCCGGGGGGCAGAGAAGACATAACAAGATATGAAAGAGAGAGAAATCAAGGAAGTGGGAATTTTAAAAATGAAGAAGAGAAGACACAACAAAATGTTGAACCCCAACCTTAAGGGTTCCTCACCATCTCGCTCCTGGAATATCGTGAGAGAAGTTAATCGTGGAATGTATCCAATCAGGCTAGGGAACAAGAGTTGGCTGTGCACTGGTACCCACAAAGAGTCACAATCCATATTTCAGAAATCGAATCCTCACACTGTGGCTGTCAGCAAGATTGAATATACCTCATCCTTGTCCTTTGCACTACTGGGATATGCCCGGGGGGCAGAGAAGACATAACAAGATATGAAAGAGAGAGAAATCAAGGAAGTGGGAATTTTAATTTTTTTTTTCCTTTCTTTCAACTAAAAACTAATGCATCATAAATTAACAAAACAACATTATTCTGTTATCAAATTTAAGATCACCAACACATAATTAATTACACAAATTAAAACAACTTATTTTACTTGCACTATATGTATTCGTATACATCCAATGTTAATTACTTAAACCCATAGGCAGCTCTAATGCCATGCGAGAAGTGCGACTACACAAGGTCCGATAAATATATGGACACCATACACATTTAATGTATTACATGTATGGATTTGTATTTTGATAATTTTTAGAACTTTTTTGAATTTTTTTTTCATAAAAGTTAAAAGGACCCAAAATTTAAGAGGAAAAATAGACTATGATACAACCTTGATAATATAGCCTATTTACTTTATCCAATAAAAAAGTAAAAGGAAAATTTGATGTGTAAAAAATATTTAAAAATTGTAATTAGCCTACAACAATAATAAGGAAAATGAGATAATAGATAAATAAAAAATAGTATATTTGTAAATTTCAAATTATTAAGAACTAACTCTTCCAAACTTTACGCCAGAATATTGAATCCAAAAATATTCTTTAACATAATTCTCGATCCTTTAATACTTATTTATAGTCTTTCACACACTCAACCTCATCAAAAGAATTAAATTAATTGACACATCATGAACATCAAAGTTAATGTACAAAATGAATGTACATGTAGCAGCTTCGTTGCCAAAATAAGTTGTGATCATTTTGAGATTGTTCTAAAATATGGAAATTTTTTGACCTTGATGGCAAAAAAAATTTCGAGAGCTAATTGTTTTGCGATATGTTTACCAAAAGAAACAAAGACAATTCTTGACATATTAACTTATTTGAAAAAATTAGACTGTTTTCAAAATGCATTTAATGTTTATAGAATATTATTGACAATATATGTTATAGTTGTATATTAGAAAGAGTTTTTCAAAATTGAAGTTTAGTGATTGGACATAATAAATATCACTCTTTGGCAACACGTTGACACTTAATGATGTCGCATATGATTTAATGTTAATTTTTTTCGATCAAATGAAACTTGAATGATTATTAGCTTAAAAAATAACTTTAATAACTATCGTCGTAATTACTTAAAAATATAGTGATCATTAACATAATCAACCCATTTCATTGGTTAAAACAAAATATAAGAATATTATTGACAATATATGTTATAGTTGTATATTAGAAAGAGTTTTTCAAAATTGAAGTTTAGTGATTGGACATAATAAATATCACTCTTTGGCAACACGTTGACACTTAATGATGTCGCATATGATTTAATGTTAATTTTTTTCGACCAAATGAAACTTGAATGATTATTAGCTTAAAAAATAACTTTAATAACTATCGTCGTAATTACTTAAAAATATAGTGATCATTAACATAATCAACCCATTTCATTGGTTAAAACAAAATATCAGGCATCATTCCACAAAGTTTTTGTTTTCTACAAATGATGTATCAAAGGGTCAATACTACGAAAATCATATATCCCCAGCTCTCAGACCTAAGTTCATATTCCAATGAAGGCGACAGTGTCATGGGGGGGCGCCGCCATCACCATAGTCAATGTTGTCCACTCGATACTGTTCGTTAAATTCGGCCCCATAATGATTTATAAAAAGTATAAAGGGTCCACCCATAGGTTGGTTGAAACCAAATTTTGTTAGCAAATATAGATTTGAAGGTTTAAGAGGCAGCCGAATATACCAGGGTCTGGAATTAGGATAGAGCCCATCGAAAAGACAAGAGTCTCGTTGAATGATAAAAATCTAATGACAGTGTACTATTTATAAGATAATTTATGGTAAAATCGAAATTATAATTAAGAAAATTTTAAAACGAAATTTTGGTACGTGTGTTCCGTTCCCCGCACCTCAGGAGGGGGACGACTTTACCGTAACTGTTCGTCAGATTCCCGCAAGCGTACGGGTTCGTTGTACAAGTAATAATCGTGATGAGTAAGTTATCCTCCCACAGGGAATAATGATCAATTTTAGTATATTTGATATAGTTAATTCGTATTTGTAAAAAAAAAAAACGATCGAGGGAATAGCTAAATGATTTTTATAACTAAAACTTGTGAAAATAATTAAATTTGGTTTAAAAATTCAAATGTGTAAACGTATTGGATTTTCGACGCCATTGATTAATTCTTAGTTCTAATTCTCAACCAATAATAATTATCTCAATTTATGCAATTGCGACGATCGATGATTTCGTTATTTATTTATTATTATTTCCCAAGATATAATAAACCTATGATTACCACGAGACGATCCTATTCCTAGTCCTAATTCATATGGCAAACATGCATTAACATTTAGGATTATCATATAAGATCGCACAAGCCACAAATATTATTCCTAATATTTATTGTTCATGTGTCCCAATAATAGTGTTATACCTATCGTGAGTTTTCCAACACTACGAAAAAGCAACTTATCATCCTAATGGTGCGCAAACATTAGAACAATCTAATTAAGCATATTATTGGAATCACAACGCAATAATTAACATAAAAACATAGGTCTCGAATTAAAACTAAAAATTAAACAATTTTGTCATCATCCAATACGTGAAAAGGAATTAGCCAAACATGATACTAGAATGAAATAAATAAAAGTGGAACAACATCACCGATAATTGACGAAACGTAGTTAATTCCAAATTCTTGGCACAATCTTGATGAATTATTTGCACCAAAAAAGTTCTGAAATTTTTTCTCTCTGCCGCGCGTCCGTCTCCGTGTAATCTGCCACTTTTATTGTTAATTCCACAATTCAATTTCAGCCAAAGCACCTTGAAAAGAAGTCGCTTATATGTTTGTATGTGTTGCTCAAATCTGCCTCTTCTCCCGCTTCAATTTCCGTGTGATATGTAATAAATTTCAGTGCCGACAGATTCTATTAATTCTCCTTCTCTCAGATTTTGTGCATAATCTAATAATCTAGGTTGCCTAATTATTGTTTTGAGTCCTCTGTTTAATCCCTCCAGCTGCCGTCTCTTGTAATTTTTCGATCTCTATCAATTCAACGGCCGACAATGTATACGTCTTTATTTCCCCAGGCTGCCCTCCTCTTTTTTCTACATGTATTTGTATATATATACCTCAACAAGTAAACCCTTATTGTAGCCCAACTAGGGGTCCAAAATAATATTAAATTTGAATTCCAAATAGATTATTTTTCTTCAAGTCCTCAATTCTTTTAATGTGCAAAATTTGATCTCCAACTTCCATCCAACGTCCAACTTAGTCCACTACTTTAGATTGTTCCATTTTTCGCCCTTTTTGTGTCTTTCTTCAATTCTTCGTTCAAACATGAGTTTTACCTAAGAAAAATAATACAATAAAATTTAGATCATATTTTGCCAAAAGAACAATAAAATTATATAGTTTAGAGCCCCGAATAAGTGTATAAAATACACTTATCAGTAACCATCGATTCGTCTACTGATTTCGCATATCGATAAATGTCAGCTCCACAACTTAACAATTTAAATTCAAGTTTTCATTGATAAATTCTAGTTTTACATTATAAAATCCTGCCAACCTTGTATTACAGTTTTTCTAGATGATATTGTGAGGGTTTAGTATTGTCTAAAAATGAATTTTGTGATCGAAAATTGATTTGAAGTTAGTCCGTAGACGTAGGTAAATTACTGAATTAATGTATTTAAGTGTTTCTCACAATTTATTTATGTTCGATAAACAAACCTATCTTAATCAAGTAAAGAGTAAAAGAATGTATTCTAAATTCTTTACCCAGTTTTGGATCATGACATGCCTTTGTAATGCATGCTTTCAATTTTGTGACAGCAATTTGTGTGACATTTAGATTACAGAGAAGTGCTAAAATTAGGATTCATATATATTTATTCCATTTTTTGACACATATGTCTCTCCACTCCTTTTTAAGCCTGATTAAGTAGTTTTATTCTTAGGATTCATATATATTTATTCCATTACAAGGGCACAATACTATGATAATTCAAAGTGAAGCAAAAGGTCAAATACACACATACGTTGGTCAAACACTGGAGGCAAGTTCCTGAAGAACATTGACCATAGCATTCCGAGGTCTACACATGGCTTCCAATGGCTTGACTTTAGGCAAGGTGATTCCATGGCCTTCACTCAGATCAATTTTCTCTGCACTTATTCTTTCCCACTCAAAACACTGAATCAGCGAACTTAAACCTAACCCGATCATACGTTGAGCCAAACCCAACCCAGGACACGCTCTCCTTCCCATTCCAAATGGCAGCAGTTTATGGGTTTCCACTTCCATTTTTTCAAATCTTTCGGGTTTAAAGTTCATGGGATCATCCCATACAGTTGGATCTCTGTGAATTGCCCATGCATTGATCAATAACATGGTGCCTTTTGGGATATTGTAGCCTCCGACTTTGCAATCATCGGATGATTCGTGTGGTACGAGCATGGGAACTGACGGAAATAATCTTAAAGTCTCCAAAATGATGCAGTGAAGGTATTGCAGTTTTGGCAAATCTTTTTCTTCTACCAAGCGATTGAATCCCACGAAAGTGTCTAGTTCTTTTCTGGCTTTTTTCAAAACTTCTGGATGATTCAGTAAAAGGGACATTGCCCATTCTGAAGTCACCGCCGATGCATCCGTGCCGGCAATCAGCAGCGCCTGTCCATTGAAATTTATTTATTTATTCGAAGATAAATGCTGCAAAGAGAAACGAAAGATAATGATTTTGAGAGTAGAGATTTACAAGAACAAGCCCAATGATGATTTGATCAGTATAGTACTCGGGTTCTGATTCTTGCAAAGAAAGCAAATGATCGACCATCGTGTTTTCCTGATTGCCATTCCGCCGCCGTCGCCGGTGTTCTTCAATGATGTTGTGCATGAATTTGTAATCTTTTTCCTTATGCGTAGCTAATTCTTTCTCAAAACTATTGTAACCAATCCATCCTAAAAAGGGAAAGTAATCGCCAGGATTAGAAGCAGAACTCAGTTCCAAACCCCTTTTTATAAGCTCCCTGAACAGCTTTGCCTCTTCATCCTCCTCCGCATCCTCGCCGTAATACCGTTTTCCGGCGAGCATTCTCATTATGTTATTAAAGGTCATCTCCATTATTTTTGCTTCCAAATTCACCTTGGCGAACCCGGCCGACGAAATTTTGTATAAATTGCTCAGTAAACGATTGATCTCGTCTAGCCTAATTGGAAGAAACGTGTTGAGTCGAGGGGGGGAAAAAATTTCGACGTCGCACAGGCGGCGGAGGTTCCGCCAGTGGTCACCGTAGGGAGCTAAGATAATAGTGGTGTTATTGTAGCCAAAATGCTTGCCAATGGCGGTACGAGGACGACCGGCCAAAACGAGGTCGTTCTCGGTGAAACATTCTTTCACCAAAGATGATGATGAAACAACCACCACAAAGCGGCAACCGAAGCGGAGTGAAAATATTGGTCCATGTTTCTTTGAAAACTGATGTAGGATTCTATGGAGTGGAGGTTTCAGAAGGTGGAGGTGGCCAATGATTGGAAGAGCTGAAGGCGGACTTGGTGGCAGATTCTGGCGCCGTTTTCTTGCATTTGACAGAAACTTGTAAATGAGAATTGAGAAGATTAAAGAGAGAAGCGTGCATGTATATTTTACTTCCATTCTTGCTCAATAATATGCTTATTCGTGCTCTGCTTGCATGTACATTATATAGACTGTCTGATGAATCCCAACAAAATTGCTGACATATATTTGTGTGTGTAATTATGTATGTGTGAATAGAGAGAGAAAGTGAGATGGCAACAAAGAATAATATATGTAATATTGTTTTCTATGGAGGAATATTATGATGTTTGGATTGTATGATTAGGTACGTTTATTTAGGACTTTAGATAAAAAATTTAGCTGATTTTTATAAAAATTCCTGAACCAAAGGGAGCTTCAGATGGAGGGATGGGTTCGGATAAGTGAGAGGGAGCTTCGACCGACTAGTGTGAGGAGCTTCGACCAAGGGAGTGTCGGTTCCTTTTGACTTGTTGTCTAATTGAAGATTGATTTTACACTCCACATGATCTTCAAATGGAGTCTCCGCATGGCGAGACGTAACAAATAACATTCAAATTGCAACAAACATATTGAGAATTAATGATATCAAGAGTAGTGACGGAATCAAACAGTATGTCTTGGTGGTAGGAGTGGGCGTGGTCCGATTCGGTCCGATTCCTAACACCAATAAGAATTTTAGAAATGGAACCATTGTATGAAATCGGACCGGTTCCGATCCGGTTCTTTACATTGAAAATGTCAAAAAGAAATATTCACTAATAAAAAATCTAAAGATTCTATCAACGTGATACTTTTAACAAAATATAGGAGAATCAAACATACTATTTAAATATTAAAAGAAAACTAAGTATACAAATTTAAATACAATATCTAAATAACATAAGTTACTATTATTATCAATCAATCATCAACTTATATAAACTACTTAGTAATCCAATAATTAAACAAACTTCCATCAAAATCAAAATCCAACATTGAATTGGACACCCTTTAAAAATTTATTATAACTTCTGGTTCCCTCAGTTATAATTTGTAGAAGTCTAGATGAAAAGTTTTTATCAGATCAACAATTGTGTAATAAAAAATTTGCATCTTATAAATGAAATTATATATTGTAAATAAATTTATTTAGGTATAGAATTATCCAATATTTTAATTTGGCTTGAGAATCAATTAATCAAAAATTATAAGAAGAGAGAATCAAAGAGAAGAAGGAAAGTGCTATAGTCAAAAATGAAGATGGAAACCGATTATTTTTTAACAAAAAGTAATAGGAGATTGAGTCATATATTTTACCAAAAAATAAAAAAATAAAAAATTCTATAACAACCGTTCGATTTCCAGCGATTCCGATACTAGAACCGGAACAGGACCAGAACCAGTTGGTTCTTAATAATTTGTCCCAAAATCAAATCGTTTTTTAGAAGATTTGAAACCGAAACGATCGATTCTATACAGTTTCGGGAAAAAATACACACTCCTAATTGTGGGTCAAAAAGGTAAGACGTAATTTATTTAGAACAATGGTTAAATAATTGTGATTGTTGTGGGTGTCGTCAAGTTGTGCAATGGTAGACATTAAGTCCCTGTTCAATGTAGTTAAAATCAAATTTTTAAGTAAAGTTTGATGAAACATATAGTTGAAAAATTGTGAATCATATAAAATATGTGATTAAAATTAGAAATTTGCTTAACGGTCGGCCCTGACCATTCTTTTTTTTTCTTTTTTTTCTTAAAATTAATTATTTACTTTGAATTAGAAATTTTATCTACATCAAACATGGATTGAATTTGATAGAATTGACAAATTGTAGATATACATAAATTAATACACACACACACACATATAAGATCCGTATCCGTTAACTTATGCTACAAGTACATGATTTTTGCACCAGAAATTTTTCACAAACACAGGTGTCCAAATATCATTCAAACATGGGAAAATACATAAAACATAGACAGATGGAATTTTTCCATTTTAAAATTCCGTATGAATTTTATAAGTTTTCCTAGTACTCAGGTAAAATTCTATATCCATTTTGGTTAAGTGTATTTCCTACCTACTACCTAATACCATGCTGTACGTGTGTGTTGGGGTTTATTAGTGTTCATTTTTTACCTTCTTCATTTATCCAAACTTGTTAAAAAAACAATAATTTTATATAATATTTTACTCCATTAAATTCATCGACAGAGTTTAAGAACAAAAATAGTTCAACTTTATTTCAATGAGTTCAAGTATGTTAATTTAACAAACCGAAATTACCACGTAAAATTTGATAACTTGTTGGCAAGTTAGATTTAAATAAGCTAACAATGACAAAATAAAGTTCAATAACCTATTTAAATTTTGATTTTTATTAAAAAAAAATGATATATAATCATATAACAAACTTTTGTCAATAATGCTATAGGTACATTAAGCCATCCATAAAGGTGTCCAAAATGATGAGGTGGCATTTTTCACCCAATTTTCTTCTTCTTCTTCTTTTTTGTTTTGTTTTGTTCTCTCTTGGGCGCGATCTTCTTCTTTTTTGTTTTCTCTTGGGCGCGAGAAATTGGGTGAAAAAAATGCCACCTCATCATTTTGGACACCTTTATAGATGACCTCCCGTTTTGTCCCCATTTTTTGGAAATGAAAATGGATGGAATGATATTTTTTTGAAAAATGAATGATTAAAAAAGAAGGAAAAATTTTGATTTACGTATAATATTATTTTATAAAATATTGTATCGTTGAAAATAGAAAAGAGAAAAATGAAATGTAATGAAATTTAATGTAATGAGATTGAATCGGAGGCTAATGTACCTATTGCATTAGAATCCTGCTATACAATTTGGGATTAAATCCCGAGTTTAAATTCAGGTCGAGGTGGCGTGACCTTAGCCCTCAATCTTGGAGCACATGGGCCTATGCATACATAATCAATGGCCGAGCAACACCTCGCCGGTCAACAGGTTTGACTGGCAAATCCCATAGCATTATTGAACTTTTGTTAGGTGAGAGATTTACGTTCAAATATCAGAACTCAGCCGGTCAGCCCTCGTGCACAGAAAATGAGCAGAATAAAGACACAATTAGAAAAGGAGGAAAGATTGTGAGGTCATGGGTATTTTTTTCTAGTCTACTGTACAAAACTGATGGTGCCTCCATTTTTAGACCTAATTACCCGTATAATAATAATAATAATAATAGTAATAGTAATAGTAGTAGATAGATAGCTTAAAATTCAAATTATGTTGATCGATATGGATTTGAGTTGCACATATTTCATAATAGATATATAATAATTGAATTTACAATTTACAAGAAACTCTAACACTATAAACAATGTCATTGAAGGGTTACGAAATGATACATGATTCATGAATATGTCCACTAGTTGAGCTAGCACTTGGTGAGCCATAGTGGCTTACTGTGCTGGCTCCACTAAAATTTCTACCCCTCATATAGTGGACGGTCACCCACCATTGAATATGTTAATTATTAGTATATTAAATGTAATTTAAAAATGAAGTAATAAAAATGTATTAGTTTAATATTGTTCAATTGACTCCTCTTATATGGACTGTCTTAACTTTCACTTGTTCACTTCAACGTAATCAATGACGTGTTCGACACACTTGATAGAACCTATACTACGAGTCTTCGTCATAAATATGAGATTTTAATATTCGTTTGAGCTTTTTGTGTGACGCCCAACAATGTTGGGTATCTCATATATTCAACAAAGGCAATAATAATTCTTGACTTTGGTATACTACGCATATAAGAGCGGTCACAAACAACAGTTGAAGAAAATGTAACATGAAAGATACCTCTAACCTAACCCAAATTGTAAAGAATTGGACATGGGCTCCACCCCCCTTTGACAAATGGGTTATTCTTGGGTACATCACCCCATTACATAAGGGTGTCCACCGGGCGCTCGTCGGGTGTCCATTTTGGGTATAACCGAGTGTCCAAAAATGGACACCCTTATGTCCTCCCTAATGTACCCCAAGAATAATTTTTGACAAATTTCAATTGCAGCATGGCTTTTCCTTTTATACGTTTGTGGAAACCTCAACGACCTTTGAAGTTTAATGACGGATGCATTATTCGTACTAGTATCATTTATCTAATTTATTATATTCAGAAATGAAAAAAATAACAAATTGAGATATATTTATATGTGTGAATTGAAAAAGTCTCTCATTCGTATGTAATTAATCATGACTCTTCAATTACAAATGGTGCATATTAAAGAGTCATGTTGTTTTTAAATGGTGTGACTATTCAAAAAGGTGAATGATGAAAAATCATGACATTTTGATAGGGTTGATCTAGGGATGGCAATCGGGCTCGCCGGTTCGGGCCGCTCGTGGCTCGGCTCGGGGCTCAGTAGACCCGAGCCTAAGCTCGGGCCGAGCCCCCATTTTGGGGACACGGGCTTTGCCCGAGCCGGTCCATGAGCTCGCGAGCTTTTTAATAAAAAAAATTAAATTTAAGGCCAAAATATAAGGCAGCAGGAAAAAGAAAAAAAAAAGAAAAAAGGGGAGGAGGCTGCCTTGGCAGCAAAACTGCTGCCTTATTTTTAAGGCAGCAGTTTAGGAAGCAAAAAAAAGAGGGGAGAAAACGAGCCTGCCCGACTTGGCCCGGAAAAAGCCCGAGCAAAAGCTCGGACCGAGCCTATTTTTAGCTCGGCCCGGCTCGAGCCCACAAAAAAACTCGGCCATTTTAACCGGGCCGAGCCTGAGCCGAAACTTTAAGCTCGCAAGCCGGCTCGGCCCAACTTGTTTACATCCTTAACTGTAAGAATTTTGACCGTTAAAGCTGTGTATGTGTGATTTAAAGGTCGGAAGATTTTTTATTTACTTTTTTGTTAGAGACTGCATGGTTGAGAGGAAGGTACAACACAACTTATTCGATTTTGAGAATACGAAAAAATTATACCTATAATCTCTTTCTGTATTTTAAAGAAGTCAATTCCATTTCCTACAATTTACATTTTTTTTACAAACTCGATGTCAATCACACGTAATATGGACTCATAATCTTTATCACTTTTTATACCATATATTTCATCAACTTTTATCAAAATCTACTAAAATCTAATTTTATTTATACCATACAAGGG